CGGGTTTCCCATACAGCTGGTGACCCCAACGTGATCACCCGGGACGAGAAATATACTTTTTGCGTAGCGGAAAACGGCATAATTCATCGCGCGCAAAAAGTGGCACAGCTACTAGAAGAGCGTGTTTGCGAAAATCGTGTTAGCTACAATCGGCGTACGCGTGTATCTCTAATTTCGCGTGGCTTAAGTACTTATTCGCCGCATAGTCGTCATGTATCACTCGCCGCCGCCGACTCAACGTGACGCGTCCACCTCGCAACAAGGCACGGACTCTCCGGGCCCGGTGCAAAATGCCGAACAAAATGAGCAATCTCGGCACACAAACTATGCTGACATTGACGCTGCCTGAGCAGTAAAACACCTCCCTTCTGGAAAGAGAATCCCGCCTTATGGTTCGCTTAAGTACTTAAAAGCGGCCTTTGCTATCTCTAGAATCTCAAACGACGAAACTCGATTCCACTACATTATTGTTAATCTCGATCAATCCATCTTGCCGTCTCAGATATAATCATATATAATAAGTAAATAGTCAAAACTCAGACATTTACTAAGAGGGCAACTCGTCGATGCGAAACCGTCGAATTTGTTGCAATGATTACGCAACTTGGCTGGAGGTCAGTGTACTAATTCTGTCTTGAGAACTATTTTCATGGAACATCTACCAGAGAACGTGCATACCATTCTTGCAATTAGCGAGATAACCAATCTTGCCAAGTCAGCTTCGCAGCCCGATAAGATCTTAAAAGTTTCACGGCCTCGCCGTCGTTAGTAGCAATCAAGCAGCTCAAGCAGGCGTTAACGACGAGTTATGTGATCTGAAATTGGCAATTGAGGAGCTCATACGCGAAACAGCCCATTCGCGGTCACGAGGAAAGCGTCGGGGCAGTACGCAGGAGAGGCACTCACGCTCCCTAAGCCGCGCACGAAAACTTAGAACTGACCTATGCTTTTACCATCGCAGGTTTGGTGAGAAAGCCAGGAACTGTGAAGACCCGTGCGCTTGAGAGAAGAGTTGTCCAGAAAGCTCGGAAAACTAAATATGCCCGTCGCAAGTTTACCTGGAACTTCTTTATTGCTGATGTCAAACAATCAATACTCGGCGCAGATTTCCTCCGTCAGTTCAACCTCCTAGTTGATCTTAAACGTCGCAAACTTCTGGATGGCATCACACTGTTATCAATTCCCGGAAAGGTAGCTTGTGTCCCAGTGTCAACGCTTTCTACAATTTATGGAAACAGCGACTATCACAATTTATTGCGTGAATCCATCGACATAACCCACCCTTGTACATACGCTCAAGAAAAGCAAGCACGAAATACAACACTATATTGAGACCAAGAGTCCTCCAGTTGCCAGCGCGAAGACTATCTCCGGAGAAGTTGAGACAGGCAAAAGCTGAATTCAAGCGTATGCTTGAACAAGGCATTTGTCGCCTTTCCTCAAATCAATGGGCCAGCCCGCTACACTTACAAGGGAACGGTCGGAAGTATCCCTACCCGATTTAAATGCGCTTTGGATATGTTGTTGAGCATCAAAAAATATTAGACTTGTATTTTTTTTTGTGCTTATCTCGACGTTTAGGGGATGAAAAAACCCCTAAAAAATAACGATCGATTTGGATGCGCTTTGGATATGTTGTCAAGCATAAAAAAACATTAGACACGGGTTTTTTTGTGCTTATCTTGACGTTTAGAGGTTGAAACAACCCCTAAAAAATAACGACCGATTTGGATGCGCTTTGGATATGTTGTTGAGCATCAAAAAACATTAGACACGGGTTTTTTTTGGTGCTTATCTCGATGTTTAGGGGTTGAAACAACCCCTTGAAAATTACGGATTTTATAGTTTTTAGCGAATATCTTCAAAAATATAAGGCGTATAAAAAAAAGTTTGGTACAAAAGGTTTATGGCTTTTTGTGCTCTTTACAATGGTGTAATCAGATTTTTTAAATTTGTCACATTTTTTAATTTAACCCCACCCCTATCTATTATTTTTGTCAAATATAACAATTTTTCCAACGCAAATTTAAGAGCGTCAAATACCAAATACATTCATGTGTATTTTTATTATAATACCATTATTAGATTTTTGGCAAGGCGAGATGATATGTGGTATAGGCGTCGCGCTGTAGGTAGGTGTTGCGTTATTTCTGTTTAGTTGCGCCGTACGCTTAAAAATTTCCATTTCAACTCCGGGATGACCAAAAGCGCTGATGCAAAGGCCAGCGCAAGGTACTGACAGCGAGAGGTTAATGCTATTTCGAGAGTCCTAGACTAGCAACGGAATGTCGACTCCGACATTATAAATACCGCCGAATTGTAAGATCGGACGGACAGTCGCAAATCATAATCTGAACGAACACGTGCGTCACATTAACCGCTACAATAATATACTATCCCGGTTACGGCACAACAAAATCAACAACCAAATTCACGCATTTGAATATCATTTGCTTGTGTCATAATTCCGAAAAGCAAACATTTCAGATCATAAGTCTGAAGTGTAAAGAACTGTGTTGTACGCTGTCGTTTTGTGAACATGTAAGTGCATTTTTATTGTTAACTTTTATTGGTTTCTTACGCTTGTTACTTTTTTCTTTGATATTGAATATAACTTTTTATTCAGCTCTTACTCAATCTTTGCCAGTCTTGCCAGTGACTATATAATATTTTTTGTTCATAAAATGTCACGTTGTAAGCACGCAAGAGTTAGCAAAAAGACAACTCAACGACAAAGAGCTCGTAAAGATTTTTGCATCAAATTCATCCTCACTTCAGCTATACAAGCTGCGCATTGATAACACAGACGCAATTGCATATTGAAACGTTTCAAGCGACGATATCCGCCCATACGTACTGCAACATCTACGGAAACGAATCTTTGATGTAAAATCACTCGCTATCACATCCCAGCGAACGTGCAACCAGGAAGCTAATAAAAAAACGTTTCGTATGGCCGAACATGAATTGAGATACTGCGGAATGGTCAAAAACGTGTCTTTTATGCCAATGTAGTAAGATACATAGGCACACGCACAACTTACCTCAACACATTTCCATACCAAACGCCAGATTTCAGCAAATTCACATATGTCTATAGTGGGCCCACTACCAGAATCACACGGCTCTTGTCTAACAATAATAGATCGTTTTATTAGGTGGTCCAAAGCTATACCAACCCGGGATACCACGGCAGATACCATTATAACAGCGTTTTATGCTTCCTGAGTAGCGCGTTTTGGCGCCCTTGCTGTTATAACCACTTACAGGGGATCTCAATTCGAATCAAAACTGTTCAAAGCCTTAACCAGACTCATCGGCAGTCGCAGAACTCAAACCACCGCATATCATCTATCATCGAACAAAATAATTGAATGATGGCATCGATCTCTTAAAGCCGCTATTATGTGCTACAATACTTTAGACTGAGTCACTGTTTTGCTAACCATTCTTCTAGGCTTACGTATTTTTTATCAAGGAAAAGCCCAGCAATGATCCACAAATTTTCAAAGAAAACCTACAAGAACACATATGGAGTATTTGAGCAGTTCCTACAGCGCATCATGATAAAAAAAAATCTTCACACACAAAACATTATACAAATGCACACACGTCTTTATGCGAGTAGATGCCGTTAACAAACCCTTAGAGCAACCTTACAAAGGTCCTTACGAGGTTATAGAGAGGCCATCAGACCGTGTATTTGTCATCAACATTCAAAGTAATCATACAATCATACAATACAACAAAAGGTAATCATACAATCATACAACATTTCTACAAAAAGGCTGAAACCAGCCTTTATCGAAGCTCCAGAAACACAGATACCTTTACTCGGACCTACAAATGCCATTCAACCCACACTAAGCTCGAGACCACAACCAGAAAGACTTAGAACATACCCAGGGAAGAAGGTAGTAAGATTCAATATCAGCCAGCCAAGTCGCTGGGGGGGGGGGGAGCCGTGTGGCAACCATCACCATAAATTATGCAAATATTACTGTACGCTAGCGCAGCTCATAGTTCGCGCGGTAGATACGTACGCGGATACGCGCGACACTAGCGCCACGACTTACAGGCATGGTGGCAGCCCTGAAAGAGCGGCGAGCTTCCGTTCGCGGGCATATAGAGTAACGACTCGTGTAAAGGCAAACAGTAAAGATTTTAACTATGATTTAAGTGAGTTGTATCTGCGCCCTTAATACCATCCTTGATCCTCGGGTTTTCCACAGGCTTCTGTCAGGAGTGACATCTCTGAACCCGGATCCACTAGTGCACCAAGTGGCGGCCGCTTCATCGGTCCATGAGATAGACTTGAGTGGTGGCAAGGAGCACCCCACCACGCTTATGCTCCGTGTATCGGGCATGATTTGACGTGGTTGCCACAGTCGATCCCTTGGCGTAGCGGTCACATCGTGCTGTGATGGCGTTCTTGACATGAGACGCATGACCGTTTTGATTGGCAGTCAGCCACACTGTGCTTGCCGAAGCAATTAAAAATCTGATATAGGGTGCAACGATCGGCTCCCTTTAACTTACGTGTCGCGACGTGTAATTGAGCAGTTCGTGCTGAGATGCTTCGTTTTGCTGTAGCATTCGAGTCCCCTTTCTCCGGCTGTAGCACCTCCAGGGTTCTCACTCGACATTCGGAAGCTCTGTAAAGTGTCGAGAGATAGTGGCTTTGTAGTGCTGCTGACCGATGTCTTCCACTCTCGACGAGAGCATAAATCGAGCATCTCAATTGCGAAATGGACGAATAGGTCACTGCAGAAAGTGACAGGTCGTCCTATGCTTTCCAGAGAGCCTGCAGTCTGCATGGAAAATTCTTCGAAGATCGTTCAGAGATTCATTCTTCATCTTTGGCAACAAAGTGAATGTGGTGAAACAAGCGCGAACAAGTAATCACGTATTGGAGTAGTGCTCGGTGAGCGTCGCCCAAGCTCGAGCGTAGTTTTCAGCTGTGGTTGGCAAATTGCAAATGAGAGGGCTTGCTTCGCCTTTCATGTAGCTTTTAAGGTAGTGAAGTAGTGAAGTCTCTCCACCTCGTGTAAGGAAGGATCGCTAGTCACCATTGATTGGAAGAGATCACGGAAGGCTGGCCAGTCTTCGTATCCTCCCGAAATCTGTGGCAATTGAATGCGAGGCAAGGTTTTGCGCATTGCCCCCTCCGTTGATTTGACAGCTCTCTCCTCTGACTTCTCGGTCGGCGTGCGTTGGAACTTGTCTAGCAGGTCAAGGAACATTGCCTTCTGGATGAAGCACGTCTCTTCAGCCACGGCATAGAGATTGTCTTTAAAATACTTCTTGTCAGACAAGGCCTTCCAATGAGTGGCTTGCAGTACGTTGTGGTTTGCCTCAAACTTCTCCCAGTTTGCGTCAAGAACGGCCATGCGAGTCTCTACCATGCCCACAGTGACTTGTTGGCTTCGAACTTCTTTAAGTTCTCGTAGGCCCTTGCCATGCGGCCCAGCACCTCTTGCTGGCTGCGCACTTCGCTTCTGCGTCTAGGCTCATTGTGGTCAGTGCGCTTTGCGCCACTGTTTTTTCAGAATTAATTGGTTGATCACGGCTACTCGCTCCGTGTCAATGCGGACAAGCACTCCGTTGCAATTCGCCGATTCACAGGTTCCTTCACTCGGCAGCATCCGGCTCGAAGGATTAGAATGTTTCGGATGCGCCGAAATAGAAAGTGAAGGCGAGTGAATTGGCTCGGTTAGAGTTAAAATGGCAAGCAGTCTATTTTATTTAGTCCATATGTACATTGGTCTTATATCGTCAGAGACCTCTCCGATGTTATATGAAGGTCGGCTTTAAATCCCGGAATATAGAAGCCCGACCGAAAAAAAACTGCGAGATTGTCGTGGAGGGCAAGGCCAGCTCCGTCGTCTTCTGCTAGTGACAATGATGGCCTCTCTTCCTTTTGGTCGGTCTTTCTTGTCGAGTACGTCCTTTCTTCTCCTTGGCGGTTTCCTCGAATGGAGTGGACCTTTGACTCTACCACCATTGAACGAACAAGCCTGTTCGCTAGGTGGGAGGGGCAGACTCTCCCGGTGTTAAAGGGTAGCGGAAGTCAGTCTTGGCTCTGCGTTCCTTTGAACGGAGGGCTGACTTTTCACGCTCCAGATTGGATAATAATCCTCACAACCTTGTAAAATCTCAATCGCAGTCTCGACATCCGGTAGAATGCTCGTCGAAATTATTCATTGTGAGAGGTAAATCCTTGTTCGCAGGCATGCCTTTATATAGTCTCGTGTTTGTAAATGAAGTACGAGAAAGGTCAGCCGCTCCGCGGTGAGACTTGTCACTCGCGCTCGCGGTTCTGGAGGTAGTGCCGCGCCCGCCCGAATTCGCGAGCTTGCGAGTGCAGAACGGGTCGTCGTTCGGCTGGCGCGCCGCATACTCGCGGCATCGCCTTGCCTCAATTCCGAACACTAATCAACCCCATCTCTTCGGCTGTATACTTTTATTTTGGACACACCGTACACACACTCACACACACACACACAC